CTCAGCTAATAAGGCATTCGTAGGAGTAGATCTCATACAACCTGTGATAATCCTCAAAGCTTTAAATTGAATTTTGTCTAATGTTACGAGGTTGGCTTTACTGCAGGGTTTTAGTACTGTACATGAGTAATCAAGGTGTGATCTTATAATACCTTTATAAATTAACAGAAGTGAAATAGGGTCTGCTCCCCACCATGTGCCACATAATGCTCTCATTATATTCAATCCTTTTTGAGCTTTCGTTTCAATATTTTTTAATGTTTTCTGTCCAGTTTAAAGAATTATTAAAAACTAACCCTAAATATTTAATAGAGTTTTTGATAGGAATGATCTGTCCATCTATTGTTAAAGGTATGTCATTTACTGTGCTCCTCATATTACTAAATATCATTGCTGATGTTTTATCTATTGATAAAGGAAGCTTATTTTCAGTTAGCCAAATAATAATGTCTCCAAGGCAATCATTAGCAAGTCTAATAAGATTATTTATGTTTTTGCCAGTTGACAAGAGCTAGGTCATCAGCGTATTGTATTAATTTGAATTCAGCTGGTATAATGTCATGTAATGATTTAGTGTACACATTAAATAAGAGTGGGCTCAGAGGTGACCCTTGAGCCAAACCTCTATCTGTAGTGTTGGGTCCAAATATTTCATTCTGCTTATCTCTCACATAGATCATTCTATTATTCAAAAATTCAAATATTAAATTATTATATGCACTAGGAATATTTAATTCAGTCATTTTTTTATATAGCAGATATATATCTACATTATCATATGCAGCTTTTAAATCAAGAAAAACAGTTAATACCACCTGCTTATCAGTAAATGCATTAAGTACTATATGTGATAGTAGTGTATGTGCATGATTGCAACTAAGTTCCTTGCGGAACCCTATTTGATACTGTGATAAGATGCTGTTGTGTTCTACAAACCATTCTATTCTATTCTTAATTATATTTTCCAGTACCTTACCTACACATGAAGTTAGGGCAATTGGTCTATAGCTCTCTGGATTATCTGGGCATTTAGTAGGTTTCAAAAAAGGTAATATTAATGTTTGTTTCCATTCAAAAGGAATTTTACTCATTTCTATGATATCATTAAAAATTTTAATAAGATGAGAATGTGCTATTGGGGGTAAATGTTGAATCATAGAATATGATACATTATCTAACCCTGTTGCTTTATCTTTTTTGGAGTATATAATATTTTTATACTCATTAAATGTAATGGATTGAACACTTTCATTATTATCATTAAAAAAGGTAAAGTAGGGATTTACATTACAAGAGGTTAAGCTGTCTAGAATATTTATACAAATTTCTTTATTGGGAGAAATTGTATTTCTATTGCCAAAATATGTTTTAAATTTTTTAACTGTATTCCAGATTTTGCTGATTGGTGTATCTCGATTAAGGGTCCCACAAAATGCTCTAAAACTCATCCTCTTCTTAATTTGAAGTTGCCTTTTCACAAAAGCCTTTACTTTATTACAATTTATGTAGTTTTCCAGCGTCTGATTTTCAATGTAATTCTTAATTGATTCTCTTCTTTTTAATATCAATTGCTCACATTCATCATCCCACCATGGTACACTCTTACCATTCGGCTTGTACATATGATATGGAATATTTTCTTGTGCGCTTGAATTGATTATTTCATACCATTCATTATATCCTACATCATGTAGAACATCCATTTTCTTTTCAATAGTATCTGCATATCTAGACCATTTTGCTTTTTAAAATTACGTTTTCTACATGGCGGTGGACTTGTAGAAGTCTGGATTTGATTGTATTCACATACTGTTGGAAAATGATCACTACGTCCAGTGTCAGAATATACCCACCAATGACACTTGGTAGCAATATTTTGACTGACAATGGTTAGATCTACTGCTGATGGGTTTTGACTAGGCAATACCATTCTAGTAGGGGTTCCATCATTTATTATTACTAATTGATCTTCCTCTAAGGATTCCTTTATTATGTTTCCATTATGATCACTAATAGCACAGCCCCATAATGGATCATGAGCATTTAAATCCCCCATAATTATAACAGGTGTACCAATATTTTGGATTATATTATTCCATAATGTTTTTGTGATTTTTTTACCAGCAGGATTATAAATATTAATGACATTTAGTTTAAATTTTGTCAATCTTGTACCTATTACGTGAAGATTTTCTCCACTACCAAAGTAAGTTATTCCTATACTATTATGATCAAAGCAATTCTTAACTAAAATCATGATGCCACCATATCCATCATATCTATCGTCTCTATATACATAATAATTTTTTATTTTAAAGATAAAACTATTATCTGTCCAGGTTTCATTTAAGAGGACTATGTCTGGTTTGATATCATTAATAAATATATTTAAATTATCATAATTTGCTTTAAGACTTCTGATGTTCCACTGCATAAGTGTGAAACATCCTTGTGCTTTGTTATATTGATTAACTTGAGTCATCATTTCCTATGAATGAATCAACATTTTCTGTTTTTAATTTTGTGATAAAATTAAGAACATGTTCTCTATCTGTTTTGTTTAATTTAGTAGCCATATTCATTATAACCTGGAGAGACTGAGAGTCATCCCTTCCAGAGGTAGTTATATCCCATTCATTATTGGTATAATTTGTGTTACTAAAAATATGTGTTTTCTCTGTATGAATTCTTCCATTAGGATTTAATGAAAATTCATTATGTTCTGAATTTCTTTTCTTTGCGCTCTGATCTGGGGCTGGTCTTTTCTTTGCTTTAACTGCAACACTATATGTATTTGTCTTAACTTGATTGGCCACATATGCTGTTCTGCGTGACTTTACGGGTATGTCTATATCTGAATTTTCCTTAGCTGGCAAGCTGGGAAAATCCAATGGGTGCACATTGAAATTATTGTTATTTTTGACCTTAGGTATCTTCTCTGTTGCCTCAAAAAAAGATATATTTTCTAGAGACATCATCTCTCTTATTTTTTTTTTTGTCTGGTATACTCTGGACATTGTCTACTTGTACTATTGTGATTATTACTATCACAATGTACACATTTCATAATGCATTTTTGATTAAAATCGTGAATTTCAGCACAATTACTACATTTGTTATTTTTTGTTTTACATAAATTTTTGGTATGCCCATAATTCAAGCATTTGTAGCACTGAATCACTGGCATAATATAAGGCAGAACCCTATGCTCTATTCCACAAATTAAAACACCTCTTGGCAAAGTTGTCCCAGTGAAGGTATAGCAAACAGTTCCAGTTGGAACTAAATTTACCACCTCACCACGATCTCCCCTTGCAGGTGTTTCCTCGCTTCCTTGACTATTACTACATGTATCATTATTAATCTTATCTGGCTTTACTTTTATTTTAAATCTCTTCACATTTATAATTTTACAGTTTTTAGTATTTGGTTCTGAGTATTTTAGCAAGACATCATCACTAAATTTTTTGTCAATAAATTGGATTATTCCCTTGCATGTAACATTTTTGTTGGGTATAAATACATCATAACCTTTTTCTTTTAGCAAATTATTTTGAAGAAAGTTATTTGCTGCATTTCTGTTTTTAAATTCCACACTAATTCTATTTATCCCCTTTTTGTGAGTCTTAAAGATATCATTTAGTTGTAAATCAAAGATTTCTCTTGCAATTGCTAAATAATTATAATTTCCAATATTTAACTGATCCTTCCTGGCTTCTATATATACTTCAAATGGCCCCTTATCATATATGTCGTATCTATTGGAATCTTTATCATATTTATTTTTTTTAACTCTTTAATTTCTTTCTCTACATCTTTCATTTCATTATCGTTTAATATATCTGGGGGCTTCTCGCCCCCAGACGCATCCCCCATTTTTTTTTTAGTTTAATACTTATTAAAGAAGGTAACTTACCAAAATTTTCCAAATGTCAACTGTATATTTTCTAGCTTTAAGAATTGAATTTGAATCAAAGGATACTTGAAAGTTTTAAAACAAAAGCATGCAATCACCTAACCTATCAAATCAAAAATAATTATAAATTTTTTCTTCAAATTTGGCTCTTATTTGACTTCCTTTTTTATATATACTTTCTATACTTTAAGTAAGAAACTTCAAGCTTCAGAAAACTATTATTTGGTTGGTAATTTCACAATATTCTCTCGGAGTCAACAATGTAGACTGTACTCATCAAAGAAATTTTGACAACTCACCCGCTTTTTTATTTTACACCATACAAATATCATGTTGTTTATATTATAGGTTATTTACTTATTTTTCTTATTGATCGCAATAATCCATTTTTCTCTTTGAACTATTTTATGCTTGGCAACAGGAAATGAATAAAATTTACATTGACTTATACCCAGTATTTTTACATATATCATATCTTTTTCTTTTTGAAAAATTCATATTCGCCATTATTTGAATCTTTACAAGTTAAATGCACAAAACTGCCACTAACAGCGTTGGCGAAAACTGTCAAATCCCCTCTACTCATCGGCTCACAGCGAATAGGTTTATGACTTGATGACGTCATAACGTTTACTAACTTTTTCGGTCAGAAGGGAAATTATTTGTGAACGTATAAACATCTAGAATTATAAAACATTTTGTTCCATACACTTTTTGAAACTTATTAACTTATTAATTTTTGAAGCTAATTAAAATAAAAAAGCGTATTCTGTCCCTCCGAACGTCCAACCTTTTCGCTTCTTACACAGTTAAAAATCCTGTTAATACTAACTATAAATATACTAGGCCTGTGACCAAATAATATATAGATTTTGATCTAACAACAAATGCAAATTCAGTTATTCGCTTTTTTTTCGAAATGTATAATGCTGCATTCAATCTAATACATTCACATTTATTTTTTTTAATCTTAATTTTTTATCTTTATTTTGTTTTTTAGTTGATTCAGACTTCTCAACGCTTGTACTTTAGTTAAAATCAGAATGGCAGTTGCCACTAATATGGTTTTTAAATACCTCAAGAGCCATGCCCCTTAACTACATTAGATTCGGACGAAGAATCTTTCGTTGTTTTGGGCCAGTCTATTCCGGATGCTAGCACTGAACTGTATCCAGAACCGATTGGATTGTCCGTCATAGCAGAAGCAAAAAGATTAATAAATTCAGAGCTGGAAGCTATCGACCAGGCGAAAAATAATGACGAAAAAAAGGTGTCTTTGGGTAAGTGTACAATTTTAAAGCATAATATTAATACAATATAGTAAAAATACTTAAGTTTATGTACATTAATATACAGTAGAGTCTGTATAGGTTCGCTATTGACAGCTTCTTTCCCCAATCACCGTTATCATCTGCTACCCAGTAAATAATGTCTTCTATATTTATTTTCTTGAGTTTTCTAATCGTGGTGGTAATGTATCTCTATCACTGATTAGTCTCCTCAAGAGCTGCTTTCTGTATAAGATTTTCACATGTTGAAGAACGTGCTGATCCATTGGTTGTATCAGCGGGGTAACGTTTGGTGGTAGGGAAAGAGCTTTTATATCCCTGATGTTTCAGAAAAACGGTTAACTTCTGGAACAAATTGGTTTTCAAACAATTCCTTAAAAATATGTGCGTTCATCCAAGCTTTTTGGAATTTCTGTAGTACACAAGTAGAGAGTTGACATCAATGTTTTTAAATTGGTTCGGCCGACTTCCTAATAATCATAAGAGGTAGTTTGTGAGTACCTTCCTCGTTGCAGGAAGCTAAAACTGATACCTGTTCTTTTGCATTCTAAATTAAATGGATAGTTCCTTTAGACTATAATCTAGATTGTCGTGCCAAGTTGGATGGTATTACTATGCCAAAGTCCACTAGTTCTAAGATTGTTGTTTTGTAATACAATTTGTCCTTTGATCTCTTAACTAGTGAACAGCAGGCTAAGAAATTTGCTCTCATCTAAAAAGACATTCATATCCACTGATAATCAGAGAGAAAAGCATATATTGGAAAGGATAGTCTAAACAGGAAGAATAATTCCAAGAGCCTGGAGAAGGAGCAACATAAGTAAAAGAGAATATAAATACCAATAAAACAGAATATGATCTTATAAGAGGAGACATATAAAAAATATAGTAAAGCGTAAAGCCATAGTTCAGATGAAAATGTTAATAAGTGCATGCAGATTAAAATATGTTCCAAGAAAATCGGGAAAGTGGCAGAAGTTGTTATAATACCAAAATCAGGAAAAGCTTCTAATGAATTATCACCTTCGACCAATACCGGTGATGCTAAAATTATTTGAAAAACTTCTTATAAAAAAAAAAACAAGTATTAGTCCAGTCATATACATAGACATGTGAATCTCTAGAATTCTACTCTAGCAAGAACACAACTAGTTCTATTTTCGAAGATCATACAGCTAATCTAGCGGTACGAGAAATATATTTTGGCATAAATTGGTAACACTTATTTGACAGTTGCGGTGTTGACACGGTGTTGGAAAAAGTGTTAGTTTTGTTTAAGTATTCCATTTTACATCTTTATACGACGCATTCAAGGGGCTCAAATTGTTTTTAACAAGATTATTTTTTAACTCTTGTTTTTGTTTCTATTTATTTACATTAAATATTAATTTGTTTTGTCGTATAATCCACTTTTGCAATAATTATGTGACCTATTTGATTTAAAGTGGATTCAGGATTTTTTTATACTTTGGCAACTATGTCAACTTCGATCTCTGACGTAGGTAATGACGTGCATCGGTCTGTAAATTAGATAGGTCTGTAAATTATGATAGGCAGCCATACCAGTGTTATGTACTTCTTTGTGTCTTTCAAAAAAGCTTACATGCGGATGGTTGGTGTCAAGATGCCGTTTAAGCTTTGCAGGTCAAAGAGAGCTGTCGCACATAATTTTACTGCAAATAACGCATTGTCCATCTGTATTCTTAGCAATTCCCACAGGAATAAACCCGAAGGACAATACGATTCATCATATTTTCTCTTTTTAAAAATAGTTTTCTCCTCAGATGCAGCCTTTTTGTTGGTCGGTCTTGTCCAGCACCAGGGTCTTCCGTATTTACTTACGTACTCTGTAATAAATTGTTAATGATCAGGAAACGATATTGATAAATAACCAGCAAGAAAAATAAATAAACTTTATAAATAATAAACAACAAAAATATTATATGAAAAGTAAAAGTGGTCATTGGTAAGACTGTATTAAATAGGTTAGGTAAAATAACTTCCTTACAGAACAACCAGCAACGGCTTCTCCGGAAATATTTTCTGTAGACTCTGCTGGTAAATGTGATTGAATAATTTTGCTACTTGCAAGACGTCCCGTTTTGAGCCAATTATTCATTATTATAAACTTGAAAAGAAAAACCTTAATTTAACAAAATATCACGATGTACACGACAGTTATTTTAATCGGTTCCTAAATCTTAATTAGTTTCAAAATGTATACATTCGGTACTTGATAAAAATAAGTAAGAACATCAGTTGCATTCGATTTCAAATAGTGTAATAAGCAAAAAATATTTACGAATAAGCAAAAACTTACCTACAAAGATCGAAAATTCCGGATTAAGACAAGAAAAATTAATATCACTGAAACTTCTTTTCTTTACATTACACCAATAACATGAACACATCTAGTCTTGTGTCGCGGTAATTGAATTTGACTCTCTCGACTGGCGCGCGGGCTGATGGTTCTGGACCCCCCCACGTACCATCGCGCCAGCATTTTTCAGCCGTGGTGGGTGGCTTCAACTTCAACACTCAGCTTCACCCTCGCCACTTAAGCGTTTAAGCGAAAAGTCGTAATTAGATGTAGTTATGAGTTTTTTCTACGAATGTTTTATTTAATTGTCGGACAGACGCGGAACCCCTACGTCCCTTCTACGGAACCACAGGGTTCCGCGGACCACCATGTAGGAACCGCTAAGTCAGAGGACATAATTAGGAAGTAGTCATCACATCAAAAAAATTTATAAATATTGAATTAATGATCGGTATGTTCTCACACAGAGCTTGACTATCTTGCATATATTTATCCGCTTAAGTTCAAAAGCACTCTTGTGAATTTCTCTTACATAATGCAAGATTACTTAAATATCTGCCAGGAATATAGAGGGGTATTCTTCTAGTGGAATAGAAATGTTTACATTTTTAACACTGCTGTTCTGTACCCGGTCCTACTGCAGTTTTAAATCAGTCTGTGTACCAGACGCCATTTTCTAACGCTATTTCCAATATTTTTCAACATTTATGTCCACACGTTATTATATCTATTTTTATTATTGTCTAATATTTTATCTTTAATTTATGCAATAAGTAAAAAAAAATTCCTACCGTGTAGGAACAAATATATTTTCTATCGAACAATATCCAGTTGTCATCAATTTATCAGGTTAGTTTCGTGAACATTTAAAATTAAAATATCTATTAATAAAAATATAATAAAGGACAAACGTATGTGTATTTGTATGTAGAAGTTTTACGAAAATCAGTCAAGACGTTCTTTTTGATAGTGAGAGTTATGATAATTACATAAAATTTAATCGAATAAAAATTATGATATTAAAATTAAAAACAATATTATAAAATTAATTTCACTTTCTAGACCAAACCTCAAATATGCAGCAATAACTTTTTCTTAACAGCAACATTTTTGATTGTTTTGTGTTTTTATGTATTTTATGTTTTTATGTTTATCAAAAATCCTTTCCTTTTTAGAGTCCAATAAAGATGCTTTTAAACTAAGTTTGTGTAAAATGGATACATCTAAAAATTTTCCTATGACAAATATAGAGAAGGGTGTTGAATCATCTAGTGTTATTAGCATTGCTTCCTTTACACCTGACATGTCTTCCGAAGAAGTTCAGAAAAAAATAGCTCATATCATAGACGAAAATATACGTCTGAAGGTAAATATATTTTTATTATGAATGGACTGAAATAATATGATATCATAAAATAGTTGTAGTGAATTAGTTGTAACACAGAAGATGAACATTGCAGTGCTAAAAAATAAGTCTAGCGTCATATGTATTATTTATTTTTTACTATTATGACTATTATTGACAAGATCATGAGAATATTGTTATGAAGTTATTTTCTCGTGGCATTTACTTTACTTTAATATTATTTACTATCTCTAATGGGAATTTACCACAATTTCAGTGGAAAAAACGTTTATTTTGACGTTTCGATTTCCCTATTTTCCAAAGTGAAAATACTTGTTGGAAGTTAGTAAATTATTAGCTCCCTTCCTTCCGATGACGACCATGCCAATCTTGGGGGAAGCAGTAGACTAATGATTTTGAATTATAAGTTTAAGTCATGTATATCCTTGTTCTCTGTTCCCAAACTTCTTCGTTCACTCAACCAATTGTGATTTTTATGTTTAGCATTTATTTTCGAGAACACTTTATTAACGATCTCATCCTTCTTTGAGACGGTTAAATTCGTGTTCGACCCACGATCTCTTAACAAGTCAGCTTGACATTGGCGACTAACACAATAAGACTCTGTATCTTGAGCTATTCTGAACAGTTGTTCGACTCTCCGTATCTCGGTGCATTCTCTGACATTCTTCAACCTCAAGGCTTGTTTTCTACCAATTCCGCTGCGTCCTTCGATTTTACCAATCATAATTAGTCGAATATACAGTTGTCTGCTTAGTCATCCGCGATATTTTTAGTGTTTGTCTATAAATCACATTTCAAAAGCCTCTAAGCAGTTAGTAGTTGATATTTTCAAGGTCCGTGCTTCGACACCATATAAAACAATTGGCCATGTGTAACATTTAATCATGCGTTTCCGAAGTTAAACTTTCAAGTTATCGTTACAGAAGAGTGATCTTATTTTTCAAAAAGTTCAAGTTATCTCAATTCTACTTTTACCTCTTTATCTGGATCAAATTGTTCGGTAATATAACAACTTTCTTCTTCTTCACGTGCCATATCAAAGTTATCTGACGTTGGCGATTCCCATTGTGAAGTCTTCTCGATCTTCTGCTTCATGGAATAATTGTCCTGTATTTGATATATCAGTCCATTGATCCACGAAACCTGTTTTCTTCCTACACCTTACGGCCTTCCATTTTTCTGTTAAGGATCAGTTGTAATATTCTATATCGATTTTCCCTCACTATATGTCCCAGATAAGACATTTTCCGATGTTTAACAGTATTTAGCAATTCTCTATCTTAATACTTCCTCATTAGTTTTTCTTGCTGTCGAAGGTATCTTCAACATCCGTATATGAATCCATGTTTCCAATGCTTCAATTCTTTTCATACTTTATACTTTTAGTGTCCACACTTTTGCTCCACACAAAAGTATTGACCAAATGTAGCACTTAACCATTCTTTATCTTAGTTCTAAACGAAGATGATCATTGCAAAGAGATGTCTTCATTTTCATAAAAGTAGGTTTAGTAATTGCTATTCTTCGTTTTATTTCTATATCTTGATCCAGTTGGTTCGTTATGACAGTTCCCAAATATGTAATTTTGTGAACTTTTTCAATTTGGACTCCATTTAATTGAAGCTCTGCATCTGGATGTGAGTTAAACTAAAGATTTGGTTTTGTTTGAGGTTATTTTAATGCACATTTCCTCTCCTACTTTGTGAATATGATCAAGTAGAATTTGGAGACCTTCAATATTTTCTTACAGAATTACTGTATCGTTCGCGTATCTTATTACATTAAGTAGTTCCCCGTTTATTTTGATTCCATATGACTATCTCTCAAGTGCCTTTTTAAATAGCTGGTCCGTGTAAATATTGAACAATGTTGGGGACAAAATGCAACCTTGTCTGACTCCTCGTTGTATGGAGATTTCGTCGGTGTAATTTTTTCCAATTTTTACGACAGCAGTTTGATTTCAGTAAAGATTTTTAATGACTCGAATATCTTTGTCATCTATTCCTATATTTTTAGCATATGAATTAATTTTACATGCTGTACTTTATCGAATGCGCGTTGTCGAAGTCAACGAAGCATGGAAATACATACGGTATTTTCTTTGATCACGGTATTTTTGTAATAGGATATTTAGCGCAAAAGGTGCCTCGCTAATTCCCATAGCAGTTCTAAAACTAAATTGGGTATCTTCGAGATCTTCTTCGCATTTGAGTGTAATTCTGTTGTGGAGTATTCTTAGGAAAATCTTAAGAGTGTTAAGTATTAATTAGTATTAGATTAATGAGCATTAGGCTAATTAATCGATATTTTGAGCATTTTCTAGCATTGTGTTTTTTAGGCATTGTAACAAAGATGTACTTAAGTCCCTTCAGTGTTATATATTATATAAGTAAAAACAACGTATTTAATATTGTAGTTGTATTTAGTTATTTTATCAACTTGTGCGCTCAGATCCTCACCTCTCGTGTTAATGTGTTTGTCACCCTATCTCCGTCATAATCTCTCCTCACCCCGCCTTAAGGACTTAGCTTAGGAGAAGAATAGTGCCAAATTACCTCTCGGCAATTGAAGACGGGGTGTGTGCCGATTCCCAAAAGTGCGTGATGCGTAGTTTGTAAACCCGGTGTTTTGTGTTAAACCGTAAACCGTTTTGTTTCTCTCTGTAACTGTATCTTTGTTACTGCCTCCTAGCACATAAAGCTAATGATATTTGTACAACTCTTTTTAGTCTAATCAGAATGCGATAATTTCAATCTTGAATCAGCCCTATAAGTTCATTACAAATAAATCGAAGGAAAAATCCGTCTAAGTGTTTTATTGCTTCAATGGTCCTTGATAAATATTTTGAAGAAATAAGGTGTTCAAAAACGCCTCTCTTAAATGTGGAAAGTTAGGTAACAAATTTACCCTCTCCACCATTTTGGTTCTTCGACCCGAATATTGTTTATCGTATATCTGCTCGATTTATCTTCATAAATCAATTATTAATTTTCTCTCATTTAATTTTTTTCCCGTAAAAATTAAAAATATCATTGCAAGTGCTCCGAAACCTTCTGCAGGTAGGTAACAGTTACCCGAAAGCATTGATTATAAACCACTACCTAGATACCTCACTCGTAAGGTAAAAACGAATTCAGTGTTAAACTCCGCCCACTTACACCTCTTTGCCCCTCACGCCTAAGTACTACCTGACTGTATGGTGGCGACATTCATTGAAATCTTTGCCAAGATTGAAAAATAAATCCGGCAATTCTCTAGTGCAATAGAGGACGATATAAGGATGGCATTCAGCATTTTCACAAATAATTTTAACGTGCTTGTAATCTTTATTATGAAATTCCGATTTTACTTCAGAAAAAACGCTAAAAATTAACCGTATCCTCAAATGTAAACAAACAATGAAATCGGGTAGTCACCAGTATTTCATGAACGCAAAGTCTGTCTGCAAAATGGAAACGAAACCAACATGCACTATATGTGTTGATGTAAAAGGTGGTAGTTGTCTGTGTGGGAATGAAGTCGGTGTATAACATATTCTTAGGTAGAACAAATCTAAATATGTTAATAAACCATGTCACAGCATTTTGTGGAGATTAGCGTAAAAGCTTTTTTTTGGTAATAGTTTTTCCAATAATTTAAGGTAACAAAAGCTTAAAAAACCGATTCACAAAAGGACCTACAAAAATTGTTTTGGACAATATTACAAAAAATATTTTCAGAAGAAAAAAACGGATTTTATTTAACCCGTAACCACAGACGTCCAACTAACTGAACATTACCACAGACGTTGAGTCAAAATGACTCCTATATTTAAATAACTGAAAAAAATTTATGGGGAAAACTAAGCTTACCTCTACCTTATATTGCTTAAGTAGGGTATAAGTATTACTGTTTAATATAATTATGGATGTATTTTAATGAAACGCAATCAAGTTGTAGAGAAATAAATGTAATGCATACATTTTTTGAAAAATTTTGATACATTATTTTTCGCAATATTTTTAACTAAAAAAAAAAAACTTGCTAAGCAGTTTTTATTCAAAATTTGTTAAAAACATACAACATAACAATTACATTAATTAGAAATTAACATAAAAATAATATTATGGAAACGTGCAGTAAGTTTTCCCAACGTATATTTTCATTGTGCACACTCCACACAAACCCTTTTGGTACAATCCATACATATTGGAATTTTACAAATTATGCAAAAATGTGCTGTTTTTCGTCTTCTTTTAGCTGGGCAACGCTTGCAGTATTTTCTGACTTCAAATTTTTCTTCCTGGTTAGCACTAGAGCATTCTATTTCTATTTTTAAAACACGACCAATACACATTCTGACTTCCCGACTGATGTGCATATTTTGAAAACGACGTCTCATTTCTGGTTCTACTAGCTGCATTGCAAGTTGTTTATTGAATTCGAAACGTTTCAGCTCCACATTGTCTCGGCACGACTGATGAACCAAAAAAGAATTAACAGTCGAAATATCCAGCATTCTATAAAAAATTGCCATTGGCCAACGCCTCGTTCTTCGACCCGTTGAATAGACACTACACTTTTCATCCAAGCTATCCACTCCCCCTTTTGTTAGATTGTAGAAGTCGATTATTTCCGGTTTGCCCGATTCTCCTATGTTTCCTTCATCATGGTGCATTGATGAGACTAACAAAACGGCCTTGTGCTTCTTTGGAACGTGAGAAAGTAGGGTAATGTCACTGGTAAAACCGTACAAATTAGAACCTGCAGATCTTTCTTTTTTTGGTAAAAAGCTAACTGGAATTTCACGCTTATTTTTTTTCAATGTTCCAACATATGTTAGACCTTTTGATTTTAATAAATTCACTAACTCTATGGAACTAAACCAATTATCAGCGGTTATGTTCCTGTGCGTGCCGAAAATTGGCTTAGCAAGTTTGAGAACGGCTTGCGTAGGCTTAGAATATTTTTTTTCATTTTCTGGCAAATCGAACCCATCTGAATCTTTACCACAATATATATATATGCATTATATAAATATCCAGTTCTAGCATCTGTCAACGCCATCATTTTCAACCCATATTTACAAGGCTTTGCTGGCATGTACATCTTAAACCTTGACCGTCCTCGGAATGAAATTAACATTTCATCAATACATGTGTTTGTACCTAGAGTGTAAGCGCTTTGGGAATTCTTAACGAAAGCGTTGAATATCTCGGATATTGGAGCTAAAGGATCATCCTTTTTTCGTGCGAGTCTAGTTTCTGGGTCATCGAATCGTAAGCATGAGAGTATGACAGCAAAACGATTCGAGTTCATCACACATCTAAATATATCTCTGCCCGATCCATCAGTAGCAAAAATTGAACGAATATCTTCGTGATTAGATTTGAAGATAGCTGTAAGCAAAAGCATTCCAATAAAAGCCTTCAGCTCAACAATATCTAAATCCCGAATATCACTTGAATTTTTGTTTTGATATTTCTCCCTCAATTTTGCCAGGCGTAAATTTGAGTATTCAAGAATAATGTGAATAATGCGGTTATCAAAAAACACATTCCAAATTTCTTCTGGATCAGCTTTATGAATTTTTGTAATTTTTATACCCGGACACTTAATTACAATATTATGTTGCAAAGTGCGTGTATTTTTAGAATACGGGGATATCTTGGACCATTTGAAACGGTTTTTTCCGTAAAAATAGTTTTCCACAGAAACTTCATGCGATGGCTCACCTTTTTCTATTACGCCTTCATCTTCACTAGAAAGTCTTTCACAATTATCCTCCATTTCTTGCTCCGAATCGCTTTCATGACCGCTATAAATAAATTCGGAATCTGAATCAGCATCGCTCTCGTTTTCATCGACCTCATCCGCCCATTTCAGCAAAGTTTCTTCATAGTTTGCATCGCCATATCTGATTCTTTTTGATGGACCACCTTTACTTTCGAAATCCATTACTAAAACCTAAAATAAACCGAGCAGATTTATAAAATATGGAAACAAGAAATATAACGTTATCACAGACCTGTAGTCTTTTTGACTCCGTCGAAAACTGAAGTCGTAATAAAATGCAAATAACATATACAAACGACACAGCCGTCTCACTAACCGTTGAATACTGATCGTTGAAAAGGTACATCTACGCCTGGCCATATAGAGTGGGGGGAAATCTCGAAACTCATCACTACGTACTTGCAATGAGTCAAATTGACTCCGCGTCTGTGGTTACGGGTTAAAAACAAAGTGCCCAGAGTAAAAACCAACAAAAGATTAATGCAAATTAAGGGCAATTAAAATATTCATCTTCCTCTTTATAAGCAATTCTGCTTGTTCATTGGCGGATTAATACCTCTATGGAAGGTTGTCACTCCATCTTTTGCGCGGTACTTGTTCTGCCGATTGGTGACTTATCTCTTGCTATTTTGACGACACGGGTTTTCTCCATTCTGCTTATGTGGTTATTCCATTCTTTTTTTTTCTATTTTGTGTCCATTCATTTATACACTGTACGTTACGTTTTCTTCTAATGTCTTCACTTATCTTTCGATCTCTCATCGTATTTCCTGTAATTTTTCTTAATACTCTCATCTCTGCCGGTTCCAGTAGCCTTGCGTTGTGGCTGTGTCGGATCTTGTTTCTGGGGCATATGTCCTTATTGGTCTTACACTGGGTTTGGAAATTCTTGACTTCATCTTCAACTTGAATTCAGTAATTATGTGAACTTACTGGTGTAGTTCGAAACGGTTTTTTTTTAACCGAAACGGTTATGGTGGCGACATTCATTGAAATCTTTTGCCAAGATTGAAAAATAAATCCGGCAATTCTCTAGTGCAATAGAGGACGATATAAGGATGGCATTCAGCATTTTCACAAATAATTTTAACGTGCTTGTAATCTTTATTATGAAATTCCGATTTTACTTCAGAAAAAACGCTAAAATTAACCGTATCCTCAAATGTAAACAAACAATGAAATCGGGTAGTCACCAGTATTTCATGAACGCAAAGTCTGTCTGCAAAATGGAAACGAAACCAACATGCACTATATGTGTTGATGTAAAAGGTGGTAGTTGTCTGTGTGGGAATGAAGTCGGTGTATAACATATTCTTAGGTAGAACAAATCTAAATATGTTAATAAACCATGTCACAGCATTTTGTGGAGATTAGCGTAAAAGCTTTTTTTTGGTAATAGTTTTTCCAATAATTTAAGGTAACAAAAGCTTAAAAAACCGATTCACAAAAGGACCTACAAAAATTGTTTTGGACAATATTACAAAAAATATTTTCAGAAGAAAAAAACGGATTTTATTTAAAAACAAAGTGCCCAGAGTAAAAACCAACAAAAGATTAATGCAAATTAAGGGCAATTAAAATATTCATCTTCCTCTTTATAAGCAATTCTGCTTGTTCATTGGCGGATTAATACCTCTATGGAAGGTTGTCACTCCATCTTTTGCGCGGTACTTGTTCTGCCGATTGGTGACTTATCTCTTGCTATTTTGACGACACGGGTTTTCTCCATTCTGCTTATGTGGTTATTCCATTCTTTTTTTTTTCTATTTTGTGTCCATTCATTTATACACTGTACGTTACGTTTTCTTCTAATGTCTTCACTTATCTTTCGATCTCTCATCGTATTTCCTGTAATTTTTCTTAATACTCTCATCTCTGCCGGTTCCAGTAGCCTTTGCGTTGTGGCTGTGTCGGATCTTGTTTCTGGGGCATATGTCCTTATTGGTCTTACACTGGATTTGGAAATTCTTGACTTCATCTTCAACTTGAATTCAGTAATTATGTGAACTACTGGTGTAGTTCGAAACGGTTTTTTTTTAACCGAAACGGTTATGGTGGCGACATTCATTGAAATCTTTGCCAAGATTGAAAAATAAATCCGGCAATTCTCTAGTGCAATAGAGGACGATATAAGGATGGCATTCAGCATTTTCACAAATAATTTTAACGTGCTTGTAATGTTTATTATGAAATTCCGATTTTACTTCAGAAAAAACGCTAAAAATTAACCGTATCCTCAAATGTAAACAAACAATGAAATCGGGTAGTCACCAGTATTTCATGAACGCAAAGTCTGTCTGCAAAATGGAAACGAAACCAACATGCACTATATGTGTTGATGTAAAAAGGTGGTAGTTGTCTGTGTGAGAATGAAGTCGGTGTATAAGATATTCTTAGGTAGAACAAATCTAAATATGTTAATAAACCATGTCACAGCATTTTGTGGAGATTAGCGTAAAGCTTTTTTTTGGTAAAGTTTTTCCAATAATTTAAGGTAACAAAAGCTTAAAAAACCGATTTACAAAAGGACCTACAAAAATTGTTTTGGACAATATTACAAAAAATATTTTCAGAAGAAAAAAACGGATTTTATTTAAAAACAAAGTGCCCAGAGTAAAAACCAACAAAAGATTAATGCAAATTAAGGGCAATTAAAATATTCTTCTTCCTCTTTATAAGCAATTCTGCTTGTTCATTGGCGGATTAATACCTCTGTGGAAGGTTGTCACTCCATCTTTTCGCGCGGTACTTCTTCTGCCGATTGGTGACTTATCTCTTGCTATTTTGACGACACGGGTTTCCTCCATTCTGCTTATGTGGTTATTACATTCTTTTTTTTTCTATTTTGTGTCAATTCATTTATACACTGTAGGTTACGTTTTCTTCTAATGTCTTCACTTATCTTTCGATCTCTCAGCGTATTTCCTGTAATTTTTCTTAGTACTCTCATCTCTGCCGGTTCCAGTAGCCTTTGCGTTGTGGCTGTGTCGGATCTTGTTTCTGGGGCATATGTCCTTATTGGTCTTACACTGGGTTTAGAAATTCTTGACTTCATCTCAGTAATTATGTGAACTACTGGTGTAGTTCGAAACGGTTTTTTTTTTTCATCTGATGCCAAAAATACTCGATATGGAATAGTTTGGTACTGCTTGAAGGTCATTTTAAAACAGGAATATTAATTTCCTGCAAACATGATGTTACGGATTTTGCTGTATTGCAGGCTGCTCATCTTGTTGAAATATAATTTCGTAGTTAAGTTTCATTAACGTAAGGCAACAATTCTTCTTGTAAAATAGTTTTTTACATCTCAGAATTGACAGTGCCATCAATAAAAAGAACTCCAATCCAACTTGGAGTTGGATTGGACTTGGACTCTTTGTCCAAGTATGCTTTTTGTTCCTTGGGATCGTACCGAACGCTTCATAAGCTGTTTCGTTTTATTTTATTTATTATGTCTTGGTAAGTGTTCTGGTTAGTTAATTTTTGGCCAAGTCGTAATTTATTATAAAAATGATGTTGAATCGTTTTGTAATGCATCAATATTGTATTTGAGTGGATTCATTTCCAGTGGTTTTGAGTAAGCTGCTTGGTTGTCATTTCGGTGTAGTGGTCGTGGTCGATACTGTAGGTACCGTTTTGATCTTACTATCTAGTGGTTAGTTCCGGTCTTCGGTCCTCTTTATACTCTTACGTTTTCTACTTGTATCATAGTATCATACATACAACGTGATGTATAGTATCAAATAAGCTTAATCATATTCGTTTAATTTATAATAGTTAAATAAATTCTAATTCAGAAATAAGTGCCATATGTATAATTAAAAACTCACGACAAAATGTTTTTTTTTTATTTCAGGACACCGTACTACAAAACAACCTGAGCTTAAAATCTCAATATGAACGCATCGTTGCTTGGCAAGAAGATGTTCAAAAAGTCCATCAAGCCCACAAAGATAAACTACTAGAAGCTAAAACTTTTCTTGAAACTTTAAGAAGAGAAAAGGACAATTTGAAACGTGAATTGACGAAAGCTATTGAACTCAATGATAATTATGCATGCCAAATTGTGGAATTGAAGAAACGATTAGATGAAAAGGATAATCAAAGGTAAATCAGTTAATGAAAAATTGTTTTGTAGATTATGAAAGAAAAAGTAAAACCTAGTTTTTACCTTTCTTAAATTTTGATATATACCATTTTTAAAGTAAAACACTTGCACGTCACGATTTATACAAAGTGACGTCACTTGTATTTAAAATTTCCAGAACTTCAATTTTAGAGTTCAAATTTTCCTAACACAGCTAATAATACGAAACCCATACGGAATTGCTCGATCTTTCATAGGCGTTAACATGGTGTAAAATCAGAAAAATGTAATCATCATTATATTGGAAATTTTAGAATTATATTGATTAAGTAACCAAAAACATTTGTTATTATTAATAATATAAATTTTATTCAAACTTTTAAGTCTAATATTCCACAAAATAATAATTTTAATTAAATATATTGTACGCAACTGATACGGAAATACTTCAAATTTTATTGACAGTTAAGCGTGTGGCAAAAGTGTATAAAGTGTTGCCTGCTTTTTTAGAGTAGGAATTTTGTTTATGTTTTGATTTCTTACACAACTTGGTCATAATGTAATATATATTAATAAATTGTATTTATAAATACATTTTAAATTTAGATTAATAGCGTTAAAAACTAATTATTGTTGTGTATTGCGATTGTGCTATGTCAAAACAAATAAATAGTTTGTAGAAAGCTGATAAGCTTTCATATAAGATAGATTATTTTGAACAAGAAATAATGGCGAGACGTTTTCACTATTGTAGCCCTAAAGAGTTACCAAGTTTAAAATTTAGAATATATAATTTTGTATTAAAATGTTGAATGACGTGCAAGCTTTTTTATATGAAAAACGCTATACTTCATGTTTTCTAGTGTTTTGAGATTTGTCTCAGAATGTGTAATCTCTATTAAGCATATTTTAAAAGAAAGTTTTGTGGGTACGATGGGTTCTAATATTTCAGAATAAATATCAACCATTTCTACAACATATAGACAAAATTTTTATTTTTGTTGTTTAATATTTCGCCGTACCTAATTTTCTTTATTATAGATATGACGACAGCATCAAAGAATCTCAGCTAAAAGATCAAGAAAAGAAAATTTCTGACCTGGAACTTCAGTTAAATAATATGTCTATTGAGAAAAAACAAGATGAAGAACAGAAAAATATGGTTAGTAAATTGCAAGCACATCTAAACGAAATTATTGAAGAACGCAATAGTGCCAATATAAAAATGGAGGAATTACGTGCAGAGGTAAAATAAATTTCATAGTATGTAATGCATTATGTTCACATTAGATGTTTTATTCCTTAATCGATTAATTCTGGGTTTTACTAAATCACGATATTTTTTTTTGTTATCAAAAGAAAAGAGTTTTAAGATTTCTGAAAGGAGTTATTTCTTTTTTTTTCTTGATCTTGCAAGTAAAGTTCTATAGATTGTCTCAAAGTGACTAGTCTGTACAGAGTAAATGCACAACATCGATGCCATACTTCTTTCCAAACTTGTATTAAAATAAACGTCACTTCATACTACTTAGCCAAATCCATCTTTTGTGTTGAGGGTAGCTTAAGTACTAATGTCCACCAACGACTCTGCCTGGCTTCCTTTTGTGAGTGATTCTCAAACATAAATAATATTTGCTACAACATACTTGGGTTAAATTAAAAGAAAATAGAAATTAAGAAATGCCTGTTATGTATGTCACACAAGCAGTTTGTTTTTAATTCTACAGTATGTGCTAGCGATACAAACCATTTGTTTATAGATTTAAATAAAATAGAATAAAATAAAACTAAAATATAAAGATACATTTTATTTATGTATTGTTCCGTTCAAAAGTTAAGAGGGGAAGGACTTTTAAAAACCGCACTGTATATGTTAGCAGTAACAAAACGTAGAAATATTCGAAAATAAAACTAATAAATAAGTTGAAAATAAAAGAAGTCATTATATTTAATTTCGTGTGTAAGTAATCGTAATTGTACACCATTATATTTAGTTCCTTTTTCTGTCAATCGCTGTCACATTTAGTTTCTGCTTAACTATCACCATCATCATTATTATCGTCACTGTCATCACTATCTCCGGTATTTATATTTATAATAATTTGTTCGATATCATCCCATGTGCCCGATATTTACCCATGATTAATCTAAATACACTATGTTGTATCCTTCTACACGGTATTTACTAATTGCGCGTAGATAACGATGATGCCACGAGATGATTTCTGGTTTTTCACTCAAAATTGAATTTCTGCTACAATTTATAAACACAAAATCCATATCACTTCGCAAGCGATATAGCATGGCCCGTGAAAAGTTGGGAAAAGTTTCTTCGACATTTACAACAGATAATATGGTGTTGTTATTGTTGGTGGTATGTTGTCACGAAAAAATTGATTAACTATTCTACGAATTTGGCCCCTGACACCTTAATCGTACTGTCACGAGAATTACCAACGTTGCGCTTCTTGGGATAGGATAGGCTCTTAGGATATTGTAATCCAGCAGGTGATGAATATTCCTGTCGTATGCGAAACAGAGTCTTTTCGCAAACACCACTCATTTCTGACACTTTCCTAATTACACTTGATACAGAATCGTTGTTATCCTGATTAAGGTGATAATTAATAATATTCATTAGTATCTGCTTCTCTGAAAGTTTCAGAGCTTTTCCACGTTTCCATTGAACAATTTCCTCCATTTTGCGGTAAAAATTCGTCGTCAAATCTAACAATAGCCAACAACAGAAAATAACAATAATTGCCAACAGTAAATCATAACAACAGCCACCAACAAATAATAATAATAACAAAACAGTAACAGTACATCCAAGATGGTACAAATAATCGTAACTCGAATATGTTTACGCACTCCGAAGAACAAATAAAGACTAATTAAGGCCCTGGATGTATCAAGCTTTTAAACATATTCTGTACAAGAATTACTCTAATTGCTTCTTAATTACTGAATAACTTGGAAGAAAGTATTTGAAAAACTTTAAAGCAAATGTTTATTTAATGCATATTTTATTATACTACTGCTACTAATTAAAAGTTGATAAGTTGCTATTAGAAACAAATAATGTATAGTATTATGTAAAATAATTAGCAAACCATATTTGTAAATTATATAAAATTGTACGTGAGGACTTGTTGAGAACTCCTGGTTTATTCCGTTTATTTTGAAAGATAGACAATAGAGAACGCCATCGCTCACTGCACAAAACTGGAACGTCTTGGCGAAATTCCCATAAGGTTAGTATTGCATATTTTACCCTGTACAGACTAGTCACTTTGAGACAGAGTATGGAGTCGTGAAACTTCATAGATTGGATCTTCTTGTTCTCATATCATATATCGTCGTGTTTTTTAAGGAAAGGAATTCTTCAAGAATTATATAATATCATTTAATTCTCATTTTCGCTCACTAGATCGTGGCAGCTAATTAAAGCTGCTAAAAATAGTTTTGCTCTATACTCAATTTAAATGATCTATGCACCTAATGTATCAAACAAAAACAATGTCTCAAAGTAGAAAAGAAAAGATCTGATTAATGACTACTTTGTGAAAATTTATCTGCAAATTATAATATGCACTCTATTAATGGTCTTAAACAAAGAAAATCATTACTCGCATATATAATATAAAAAGCGACAAAAATGGAAAAAGAAAACGTACGATATACGTTTCTGCCAATTGGTATTCTTCAATACCAATACAAAATCCTAGTGACACCTATTCACCGTTTTTAAATATAACATGAAATTTCGGTAAAACGGAAATTGTACTAAACCGCCATAAAAAGATTTTAGCATAAATTATCCGTTATCCAGCCACCAATTTACTTTTTATAATTTTTCTTGTACATGTAAAGTGTTTTAAATCGATTTCCAATAACCTGTATGACACTCCAGAAGCTAAAAATGGATCCAATATAGATCTATCAATTTCATAAAAAATAAATATATCAAATCAATTAACGAATCGGTTATCGCATGGAATCGAATCTATTAACGAATCGATTATCGAATCGAATAGAAATAATATAATTTAAACTAAATTAAAGCAATCGCTCCTTGCTTAGACGATAAAAAAGGCTTCCTCTCCTCGGTCACTCCCGGAGTACTACATCCGGTTTTTATTCTGTTTGAATAATTATCTTAGTAGTAAATAGTTCTATGAATATTGATTTAATGTTTGTTTGTAGTTGTTTAGCAAAACTCAGCGTGAAGAATCCCTTCACATGACTATAACTTCCCTAAAATCACAAATGGAAGCCCTAGCTCCAGCAGAAGAGGTAAAGACACTCCGGACACAATTAGGTGAGACCCAAAATGCTTTAACTAGAATGGAAGCGACAAGGAGCCGTGCATATTCACAAGTTCGTGAGTTGACAGATGAATTATCTGAAGTTAGAAGTCAATTAGAGTCGTTAAAATCACAAACTCAAGAAAGATCAAGAGATAGCGAATTGGATCACGAGGAGATGTGTGTTCTAAAAATGCAGATGGATGTATATAAAACGGATTTCGAGGAAGAAAGGCGCGCTAGAGAGGTTATTAAAGGTAATATAATCATTTTCAAGTACACCATTTTCATCTCATTAAAATTTATTTATCCTGCCGTTTCTTTTTACAACAGCTGAGTCATAAAGACCCAGTGAATAAATCAGTAACATAAATGTACTCTTTTATTGTAAGTCGAGCTTTCAAAACTGTTTAGTTTCTTTATCAAGACAATAAATTTTGAGATTAAAAAAGGCAGCAAAGGATCTAATATTGACTCAATATTTAGTTCTTTGCAACATGTGTGTGACCAAAATCGCTGTCAGTACTCAGTTGTGTAAGGTAGTATAAGAAAATAGTGAGTAAACAGTAAAGAAGTGAGTAACAGCGAGTTGCAAGTTCCTATCTTTTCATAATGCTTTAAAACTTAATTAATATCCCAAAAATCCTGTAAAGATGTATTCACAAAACCCATCATTTTTATTGTTTTATTCCTAATGTAATTGATAAGGTGTCTATCTTAAAAATATAATGTTTAAAATATGTCTTTATTCATGTATCTTTCTCATTCATATTAACAATTTTTTCTCTGAAAAATGGCTTTGGCAGAGCTTATTAGCCAGACTTGTTTTTGTTTGTTTTTAAAGAATTTTAAATATTATTAATTGCAGATTAATAGTCAACAATTTCTTGTATGAGTTGAGGATGATTTCTTGAATGTTAGTAAAAATACTATAATATTATTTTTCTAGATAAATAAATTTTGTTTAGTTTTTTTAATTCTTTTATTGATATATTAGTTTTTTTTATATATTGAATTTGTGGTACCTATATATTTTATTAATGTTGTCAAACCATTATTAACAGATTATGTCTATGCAAATGTGGAATTGTTAGGGTTTGCATTGTTACATTTACAACTTGTATTTACATAATTTAACATGTTTCTCAATGCGATGAAAAATATTATTTGAAAATGTCAAAAAATTAAGTTTTATTGGAAAATATTACTTAGAATTTATTAATTCCTCATAAAGTTCATTTATATTATTAATTTATAAATTCTGTAATCTAAATCCTTTTAATATAATATGTGTTAGATCGGCTGTTTATGTTGATTATTATATATAACAAGAAAAGGTTCATGCGAGTTAATAGTAAAATAAAGTAGCATCGGCATAGCTACTTTCTACCTTTATTTTACTATTAACTCGCATTAACGTTTTCTTCTTGTTTGAAACGTTCTAAACGTTTGGCATCCCTTTCCTCAGGTAGCTTAGCTTTCTCCGTGGATGTTTTAATTTTTGCTCTGGAAACCTTATAAGTTTTCTAAGATTATTGTCACAAATCGCCCTCATTGCTGCTGTAGTGATCCTTTTTCAAGTTTTCCAAATTCTCGTATTCTTCCAACGTATACACATATTCTGTTATGTATATTTTTTTCCTTTGTTGCGAGAAATATTGATATATATATATATATATATATATATATATATATATATATATATATATATATATATATATATCAATATTTAGAGAAAAATATTAGTATAAATATTCTAAAATATACCATACCTAAATAACAATAAATATTTAATTGATTTATGTCTGATTTTGATGTCACAGCCAAAATGATGCAGATAAGATGAAGCAATACACAACTTATCAAGTTGAAGTGTGCGAAGTAAGAGTTGCATTAAATTTTATATTGCAGTTATTTTTATGTTTAAAATTTGACTTTCAAAGTATTTAATCGCCAAATATTAAAATGATTTAAGAATTTGGTGCCGAAATACGATTAGTGAAAGAAATTGAATTATTACTCACCGTAGAAATGGGTATAACCAAAGAGCCATATCCAAAATATGGTAAATAAATGTTGATCAACAGTTCAGCACATTATTGAATGTTGCCGAAATGAAAATAGAGTTAAAAATAAATTAAGGTTAGCTCCAAATAAGATTTTTACCAAACGTGAGAAAAGATGGATTGTCAGAGAAATAGCAAATAATCCTATAAAAGTGCACCAAAATTGCGAGACGAGGTGAAACGACAGTTTGGAAAACGGTGTAACCCAGAAACAATTAGAAGAATATTACGAAAGAATAACCTACATGATCAAACTACTAGAAATAAACTTTTTATTAGCCAAAGATATAGACGTATTAGATTGGTGTTCGCTGGGGAGCTTATTAACAAGGATTTGAACTTTGGAATTCAGTATATTTGCTGATAAAACCAAAATAAAGTTGTTTGGGACCGATGGAACAATATCGGTGTGGAGAAAGCCGAATGAAGAACTAAAATTAAAAAATATGAAAGCTACGGGTAAATCACGGGAAGGTAGAGTGATGGAGTGGAGGTGTATGTCATTGTACGAGTAGGTAACATACATTTTATTGACGGGAATAGAACCAATACATGTACTAGGGTAAACTAAGGCAGAATTTCGCAACTAATGCTCAAAAATTAGGTATTACTAACAATTACTAGTTTTATCAGGACAACTATCCAAAACACACGGGTCATATCGGGTTCGTACGTGGTTGATTTATAATTACCGGAATGTCATTAAAACACCAGCCTAGTCACCAGATTTGAATATTATTGAAAATTTGTAGTTGACATTAAAAAATAAAGTAAATAGTGCCCCAATATCAAATAGAAATGAATTGAAAGTAAAAATTACCGAAGCCTGGGATACAATTTCCTCAGAGTACACTAGGAAGTTGGTCGAATTAATGCCAAGACGACTGCGGGCTGTAATTGATAATGAAGGAAGACCTACAAAATATTGGCATCATCATTTTTCAATGCGTAGAGTTCGTTTTCTTTATCAATTTTCTTGTTTTAAAGTTTGCATTATTTTAGCGTGAAATCAAAATCATATATAAAATAATTAAATATTTTTATAATTTAAGTATGGTATATTTAAAACCCAAAAAATAGCTTATACTCTTTTAAAAGACTGTAGTAGTAATTTAATTTCAGTATGTATTTTTTTTACTGAGCCAATCTGACACAAGCTAGTTTTATTAAGTAGCTACTGCATCATTTAAGCTGTGAGTCATGATATTGTTAATATTCCTAAGGTGTGTTGCTGATCCGACTTTATCCGAAAGTAGTTAATTCGATTACATGTAATTAGTTTTAATTTGAGAATACCCGTCAAAAAAATCATAGCATGTTGATATTTATTTAAAACGACAAACACATCCAATTGTGATAGTAAATTATATTTAGTTTACTCTCAATATCTAACATTATCTTTTCATTTAATGATAAAGATAAAAATTCAAGGTATGGCAGGTGGAAGAAGGGGGCCAGGTCGAAGACAAACGTCAAAAAACTCGAGAGAATTGTTTAACGGATCCTTTTCCGAGCTGCCGGCAACAAATTTAATTTAATTATTATTTAACTGGGAATAAGCCACAATTAAAGATAAAAAAAACGTTTATTGACGTTTCAATTTCCACTTCGGAAATCGTTCTCAAAATGCAAAGAGTAAATTAAACAAATTTTGTTTTTTGTTCAAAATACAAACAGTAAATTAAACAAATTTTGTTTTTTGTAACAAAAAACAAAATTTGTTTAATTTACTGTTTGTATTTTGAGAACGATTTCCGAAGTGGAAATTAAAACGTCAATAAATGTATTTTTTTATCTTTAATTGTGGCTTATTCCCAATTAAATAGTAATTAATTTAAAATGCCACAAGAAAATAGCTTCAGAACAATAACAAATTTAATATAGCCAATGCATGATAATCGAGCAGGGCACAAGAAGAAGAAGATCTAAAATTAAATTCTAATCTCGTATTTATGTGACTTTAAAACTTAATAATACATTCTCGATATGTTATTGACTTACTAATAGTGGCATTTCCTTTTTATTGTTTTCTTCTTTTAATAGTGGTAACCAGATCCTACTACACTCTGCCGAGGAATTTGGGACACCGTTGATTTCATTTAATACAATAAGAACAGCTTCTTTAAGAATGTAGTAGGATCTGGTTACCAATACTTGAAGAAATCAATAAAAGAAAATAACACCAGGAATAAGTCAATAACTGTCAAGAATGTGACATTTACGTTTTAAAATCATATACATATAAGATTGGAGTTTAATGTTAGATATTGGGAGTATACTAAAAGTAAAACCAAATACCATTTCGGGATGGTATGATGAGCTATTTTCCTGGATTTCCTTTAAGTTACAATGAAATTACTAATGACAGAATTTTATTGTCATGATTGGATGTGGTTGTATTAAAAAAGTTATTGTATTCTTAATTTAAAAGTTAATTTTATATAATCGAATGGACCATTCCCCAATAAAATCATCCCAGAAGTGCCCCTTAAAAATATTGACAATATTATTTTAAATTCATTTTCTTTAAAATGTATAATACATGTCTCAATTGACAATATAAGTGATTCAGATAAAATTAAATTATTAGAATTTTTTGTATTACCAAGTAAAATAAAATAATTTGTTTTGTTACTTTGTAATACTATTTGTAAAAATAATAATAGTAGTTGGTGGTTACCTCCCATTAAAGATAAACAATAATATTAAAATTTCACAAGAAAATAGCTTCCGAACAATATTCAGAACACTAACAGTACTGAGACAGTGGGGTGTATACCTCCTTAGCATTTCATAGGGAAAGTTACAAGAAAAGCAGAACTGAACAACTGTGGTACAATATTTAATTAACCTACCTAGGTATTGGCCTTGCAGATGACATGGACCTTGCCGCATGCGGAGAATATAGGTCTAATCATCAATGAAAGCAAAACAAAGTTTATCGTATCAGTGACAGGCTGTAGAATCAGTGTAACAAAACTTTAACATTGATAGAACTATAGATTCTAACTACAATTTTGAAGGTGTGCAATAGTTCTCTTATCTGGGAAGCATTGTTAAAAATTACGAACAACACTTGCAAACAAAAGTTATTGTGGACTTGTATTAAAAACCTTAGAAGTCATTGTCTAACAAAAGAATCAAAGGTAATGCTATACAGAACCATAATACTCCCAGTCATAATATATGTATCGGAGACATGTGCGCTTTGTAATAGAGCTGAAACCACACTATTAATATTCGAAAGAGAAATAATCTGAAAAATATTGAGCCTTGGCGTCGTCGATAATATTCGATCCATACAAGAAGTACAATGAAATAGCTGAAGCCCAACATGTATTTACAAGAATAGAAATAATAATTTAAAAAATTATTTTCGTTAACGACTGTACTTTTAGGCCCGCCGTAACCTGACATAGTAATTAAGGCAATAATTACTGGCTTTCAATAAATGTATGTTCTTGTGACATTTTAGTACAGTTTACTATTTTTACTGGGAATAAATCACAATTTTATTTTAAAATATGTTCATTTTGATGTTTTGATTTTCACTTCGGAAATCGTTCACACAATAAAAATTTAATTTATATTTTGAAATCGATTTGCGAAATAATAGTGGAAGTCGAAACTTCAAAATATATATTTTAAATTAAAATTGTGGTTTATCAGTAAAAATAGTAAATTTTAATACATAAAATGTGTTTTTTATAATTATTTAATGCTTTTGAATATTCATAATCTCATACAGATAGCTCTAGAATAATGTGATTGTGAATTTAAATAATTATGAAAATACTTCTCATTTCACACAAGTAAATAATTAATATATTTTAAATAAGTAATAAATCTTTTAGTTGTACTATGTAAATTTACAATTTATTCCTTAATTTTTATTAGGCGAAAAAGATCGACTTGAAGAAGACCTCCAAAACATACAGCGACGTAACCAACAACTTCAAGAAGAAATAGAGTTGCTTAGAAGAGAAGGGAATAACTTTGTAATCCCACCTCGTCCTTCTCCTCCAAGAGTAGAACAAATTCGTCAACCTTCAGCTCCTTCCCCATCCAGAAACGAATTGTTAAGGTGTCCCAAGTGCAATTTTGCTTTCAACGATCTTGCCCATCTCGAAACGCACGTTTACCGATGTTTGGATATGGAGCTTTCTTAAATTAGATGTATACAATATATGTGTTTATTTTTATTGACTATATATATATATATATATATATATATATATATATATATATATATATATATATATATATATATATTATAGTATATGTTATTCTTGAGTATTTAGTTAAGTTTAGAGGTTATTGTAATAAATTGTGATTATTAAAATTTATTCTATAAATATGATTTCATTTTTGTTTAACATTAATATTCAAAGCTGTGATGCACTTCAAAATATTTCTGTTATATTATAACAAAAACCTTTGGCTATAATATAATATTTTTTCAAATATTTGTAAATCTAAAACAAACTAATCTGGAAAATAATTACAAGTACAAAGGATATTAATAAGAAGAAGTACATGGAAAACAAAGTTTTCAGCTCTTTTTATAGAATATAGTTAACTCTATGCAATGCGTGTCTGAAGTCTCTCCTACCTAGACCCCAACAAATTTTCTGAACCATTAAAATTTAATCAATATTTAGGGTAACCGAACTAACCTACTTTTAATCACTAAAAATGTTAGATATTTGGAGATGACATGACAATGGTGGAGACATTTTATAAGATCATTTTAAATAGGATCATGTCGTGTAATACCTAACTCATTTGAAAGTTCGTTTCAAGTGCTTTTAAATATTCGTTTCAATTATAAACAATTGCCAAAATATTTTTTTATTACTGAACTTAGGTACACAGCGCATCATATGAAACTGGTACAGTTTTGTCCCAATGTAAAACAAACGGTCGCTAAAAATAAATACAATCCGTAATTGCAAACCGCTTGTCATGATATCAGATCATTTAATAAGTTTTATAAAATAATAATAATTTCCAAAATAAGTGATAATTGGTTCATTAGACGCCTGACTCAAGAGTAACAGAATCAAAACCACAATTCAGAGTATTAAAAAAGATAGTACAATTGGACAGAAAAAGAGGAACTGGAGGTATTTAAGGAAACATATCGTAAATGGCAAGGCAAATAAGTTAAAAGACACTTTAATACTTCACTAACTGCAGCATTAAGAAGAAATAAACTAATTGAAAGATTGGTACAATCTCCCGAAAATACAATTTTGTGAAGAATATAAACTAAAAAGATTAGTATTCTTTGAATTATTATGTTTTTTAAAAAGTTGTGGTTGGGTAATTTTCTGTGACGAAAAACTGCTTCAGTTACATCACGATAACCATATTTATAGTTATAAAGTTTTGAGCGTGGATGAATACAGATTTAAAAATGTGTTTGAGACGAAGGAAGATTCAATGTAAATAACTATATAAATATTTTAGATTATTTTTATTTGTAAACTGAAGCTGGAGGATCAGATAATAGAACAAGTATGGAGTTTAAATATCTAGGCATCACAATATTTAGCTATGGAAAGCTTGAAACAGGAATGAAAGATCAAGTGAATAGAGCAAACAGCGACAGGTTGCCGGAATAAAACAATTTGGAGAAATAAAAATATCGGGTAAGAAATGAAAGACAACATTTACAAAATTATCAGAACAATAATGGACCCGGCACAAAAGGAACAAAAAGAATGCTAGAAACAGCAAAGATGACAACCGTTAGAAAAATTGATGGTAAAACACTATGGGACAGAGGTAGAAGTACAGATATACGACGGAGATGTAAGATGGAGAACATCAAGGACTGAGTAAGAATTAATACGGTTCTCCAATAGAAAGACGATCAGTAAAAGGAACGAAAACGATGGATTAAAAACAGGCAGCCATGTCTACATAAGAAGAAGAAGATAATTTGATATTGACACCTTCACCAACTATACTCTTATTTTCAAGCGCAAGTTGCTCAATACACACAACCCACCACGTATGCGATTTACTTTACTTTTTAATTTTTTTTATTGCCGTATTGCCAGATTGGATTCTGACAGGCAACGGTGGGGGAAATCTTCTTTTTTGATGTCACGGAACAAGACACCCTGGTATCGTTCGGCCGAGTGGGGTACTAAGCCAGAAGACCCCAGGGTAGTGCCGGATTAACCGTGTTCCGGCTAAAACCTTAACCACCGTTTCAGAGAAGTGGTCTTGCCACTTAATAAACAACTAAAAATTTATATATAACCATACCTATTACCGTAAATCAGAAAATGTTTAGACGTTAGACCATAAACTAATAAACAATATTAACTATAATTTTTTAGATCCCTGGCTTAATTTACTCCTCTGTCCTCCTGTTCCTTTTTCTTCATCACCCCAGAAATCAGACAGTGTACTTCTCTCCATTCTTTCTCTCCTCTCAACATTATGTTTACAATATTTCTTTCATCCAGCCCGAAACCCATTCGCCTCTCGAAATCTCCCATCTCATTTGCCCATCTCTGGCAGTTAACAATGTGGGCGGGAGTATCCGGTACTCTACAAACAGTACAGTCTGCCGAGGCAGATTTGCCTATTCTATTTGTGAAGGTGCCAAAACTACCATGTCCGGTCAGATACTGCGTCAGAAAGTAATCTAGTTTTCAGAACTTACATTCCCACCACGGTCTCAGATCCGGAATAATCTCCTTCATCCACCTTGCCTTTCCACTATCATTCGCCCATTCTGTCTGCCACTCTACTATCGTTCTTTCTCTTTCATTCTCATGAATATTTACATCCATCCTCTTCGCATACATCCTCGCTCGCTCTTTACACAACAAAATGATCGGTATCACATGTCCAATGACATATAGAGCCTTATTCGAGACTGTCCTATATGAACTAGACATCCTGAGGAGCATTCGACTTTGAGAAGTCTCTATCAGCTTAGCGTATTTCGCAGTGTTTAGTACACTACACCATACAGGTCCAGCGTAGGTTACTACCGACTAGAAAACTCCATTTAGCACCTTTCTTTTGGTGCTTCCTGGGCCTCCAATGTTTGGCATCAACCGTATCAACGCTTCCAGATTTCGGTTTTGCCTTCTCTACTGTCTTTTGGATGTGTACTCCGAACCTTAGACCTTCCGACAACCAGAGTCCCAGATATTTAATTGATTTAACCGGTGCAACCTCCACACCCGCCACTATAAAACGAAGGGAGGATCTTTCCCGTGTACCTTTGAGAACTAACACCTCAGTTTTCTGAGGCGCTAGCTGTAGATCGTTCTCTCTGATCCACCTACTAATGCGACGCAGGGCTGTATTAGCCATGTCCGTTTTCTGACTCGCCTTCACAACCAGTGCGAGATCATCAGCATAAGCTACAAGAGTGGATCCCCTTGACATCTGTAACCTCAACACCCCGTCGTACAAGACATTCCACAGGATGGAACCTAGTACTGAACCCTGCGACAAACTGATGCTGGTATCTTTTTCTCTTATGTACCTGTCAGTGAAGTATATGTCAATTACGTTGACCTGGTATCCACTAACGCCCAATTTTCTAAGTCCGGACATGATTTTTTCCCATGATGTCGTATTAAAGGCATTCTTGACATCGAGCAGGATGAGAGTCACCCATATCTTTGTATCCTGCGTTAATTAAAGAGGTTACTTCTGTGACCTTATCTATGGTGGACCTTTTGGTCCTAAAACCATACTGGCGATCGCTCAGCACATGCTTTTCTTCTAGCTCTCGCTCAAGGCGGCCTTTTATAAGCTGTTCGTACAATTTTGCTATCGAACTAAGAAGGAAAATTGGCCGAAATCGTACCTCTTCCTCTTGACCTTTACCTTTCGGTATAAGGACAACCTTAGCTTCTTTCAACATTGTTGGAAACTGCTGTTGTTCAAGCAGTTTGTTTAGCAATCTCAGAAAAACCTGCAGGTATTTTAGTGCGGCGACTCTTAATGTCTCCGGCATGACCCTGTCAATCGTGCTTTTCGGATCTTTATCCGTCCAACAGCCTCGGCGAGTTCCAACTCAGTGAAAGGTTCCGCACATACGAGACCAATAACCCTTTCAGGCCTATCCTCCACTTGAGGAAAAAGTTCCCGTATTAAACGGAGTTTCTCCTCCTCAGGCAGGGGGTAGGGTGTCGTTTTCCCTTTCAATTCGATACAGACAATCTTGAAGCCCTGCCCCCAGATATCCCTTTCGAGATTCTGAAGTAGGTTACTCCACCTTTCTTTCATTTCTGTATTCATTCTGCATTCGCTTTAATTCATTTATTCTCTCTTCCAAATCTACTGCTTGTACTCTTCTTAACCTTTTAATGCGATTGCCTTGCTCTAGAAGTCTCATGGAGGGTAATGGATAGCAACTATTTCCTATTATTATATCTAATAAATTTAACCAATCTTTTGTCAGCGTAGATAGTAATTAAAATAATGTTGGGTCTTTATTAATTCTAATTTATTGTTTTTATTTTAATTTACTAAATGTTCAATATTTACAACACTCACGAATTTATCAAAGTCTTTATTACTTATAATTTATTTTACACTTAATAATTACAAATAATTTATTTGCGTGCGATACAATTTTAACCCGATATCCGCGATCTTCTTTTGACTGCTGACCACAATAAAAGCTCCGTTATTATATATGAAAATACAGCTATTCGAGAGTTCAGGAGAATCCGTCTGATAATACTAGGCCGGGTCATCATTCGACCGGTTTCTGGAAACTTCGAACGGCCGTTTCAGGTATATTATGTCGCCAGCTGATTGAAGGGTCTCGTCCATTCTACAACATATTTAGTAAATAAACAACATGTTTAGATGTTTATTTTAATATGACTAATTTTTAACGTAACAATAAGATTACTAAAACAGTTTTGGTATAAATTTGTAAATGATTTCAGCCAAATTTTGAACCTGAAGAGTCAGTAAAATATATTCAACAGCTGAATTGCAGAGGTTTAAAATGAAAGACGTCAACAACTTCATTAGTTTACTAGAATATGTTTCGCTTTAATTATTATTTAAAAGCATCGTCAGTTCTCTACAAAAAGTAATGATATAAGTAAAAACGAGCAAGGTCCATACTTACAAAACAATTTGAAGGTGTTTATGATGTTCTAAAAAACTCTACGATAACTTATCATTAAAACTTAACAAACCGTACGAGATAAAAAAAAACCACAAGAAAAACTGAATGAGAGCACTAATAATGTTCATTAATTTAATTTTTGAGTGATTTTTATTTTGAC